GGGGGGGGGGGGTCAATTATTGCAGTTAAGTAATGCATGGGGATTCATCTAAATATATCTGCATGACCACATTTGGATCCGCTTGTTTTTCCCCTCTTGTTTTTTTTTTAGCTTTCATTCATTGTCTGTTTCCGAAAGTGTTCATTCGTTTGGTGAATTTTCATTTAGCTGTTAGTACACTCATGTTTTTTTCTCCCCAAGATGAGATACTTAGTTCTACTTGCCTGCGCGTCAGTCGCTCTGGCTTGCAAATGCAACCAGAAATTGGACGACGAATGGGAAGTGTACAAAAAATTCCACAACAAAGTTTACGATACCCGAGATGAAGACTGTTACAGAAGAAATATTTGGGAGGACTCGGTGAAATGGGTGGCCAAACACAACAGAGAATACGACATGGGAGTCCATACTTATTGGGTGGGAATTAACCAATTTTCTGACATGGTAAGTTAGAAACGTAATAATTGTTGGTGCAAGACGCTCTGTTCCACTTACAATTCAATAGGAGTTACTGACATCATGATTTATGATTTTATTTTTCATTATTGAGCTAATTGAAATTTACTTTTTTTCTTAATTTCTCCAAGATTTGAATCATTCTTTTTACTATGTTTATAAAGTTTACGTAAAGATCTATTTTTTGTAGAGTTATCCTGAAAAATAAATTATTACTTTCCTGATGGACGGAGCAGTGTATCAAGTCCAGTGTATATCGAAACTGATTTGAAAGGCCAAACTAATACGTGGCACTAAAGATAATCTTTTTTGTTTCTATCATTCAGACACAACAGGAAAGAGTCAGCAAGATGAACGGTGCAGTTATGCCAGAGAACGTGACCTACGATGGTATTGAATGGTTTCAGGAGCCCCTGAACGTTCAGCTGCCTTCCACAGTGGACTGGAGACAAAAAGGTGCTGTCACCCCGGTAAAAAACCAGGTAATGGAACGAATATCTTTATATTCCGTATCACATGCTTATATGCACACGATCGTTAGATAAATAATTATAAGTATGTTTTTATTTCTTTTCAAACACGGTAGTTCCATTAATAGTGATAAGTCATTTAAATCGGGTAAGCGTATTTGAACCCAAACGTATTTCGTCACTAGTATAGATTCGGCAAAAAGAGTGGACGCCCTCCACGTGACTGTATCATGATACATTTCGTCTTCATGGCACTGCACAATAATCCAGTGTTTTCAAGCCAGCAAAAGCACTGCGTGAAAAGCGAGCGCAGAAAGAATACACTTCTCGACTTTTCTGGCCGTGTGCTCCACACAGGATTTTACTTTGGGGGGGGGGGGGGGGCACAAAGACCTATTTTGATTCCCTTTGCTCGACAAATTTAAAGCGACAGAGAAGGGTGATTTTACCATACCATGGACGGCACAGGGATTCATAATTTGGTTGAGTTTCTCTGTTTTGCTCGTTATCCGTATTTTCCCCTGCGCCTGCATGGGCTTGCCAATCTACAGCCACCTTTCGTATAGGAGCACAGCGTATGCATATGTAGGTATGCATATGCTCTATTGACAAAATATTTACGTTTCGTAGCACCCTTTGTTGTTTTTATCTTCAGCGTGCGTGTGGGTCGTGCTGGGCATTCTCCGCCACTGGCACAATGGAGGGACAGTCGGTTCTAAGGAAACATAAAAAAGTCTCTCTCTCAGAACAGCAACTGGTGGACTGCGACAAGCGTGCGTATAATATTACACATTTTATTATATTGTATAAGCCTCGACGTTAATTGTCAAAATTACATATCTTAGCTATTTATGAATTACACTTTCTATAAATTTCTATAAATTATAATCGAGAGCCCCATAATGATTTCTGCTGATTTTTCTATAGATGATGGTGGTTGCAATGGCGGCAATCCGGACAGCGCTATCAAGTATGTGGCTCAGAACGGCGGCATTGACACAGAATCTGCCTACAGTTACACAGCAAAGGTATGGGTTGTTCACACCCTCATATTAAATACAATCGTCAGCCTTGAAAATTCGGCTTAATTTTTTATTTCTATATTTTGATGTGTTATTTGACACAAAATAAAAGTTGTCCTTACTCCTTCTAAAACTGTTTAGTTTGAACCCCAGTTTTTAATATATACGTTGTTAAATAGAATACTATACATAAGTAATGCTAACAAACAGCTGACATAAGATCCACGGTCATATTGCACTAGTAGCTCTGTTTCTAATTTAGAATGGCCATTGCCACTTTAGCAAAAGTGGCGTTGGCTACACGACTTCCGGTGTGGTGCACGTTCCAGCAAGCGAGTCCTCCCTTCAGTCTGCAGTAGCCACCGTGGGCCCAATCTCTGTCTGTATTGATGCATCACACCGCTCTTTCGGAGCATACAAGTGAGTAGAGATGTACGTTAATTTGAATTCAAGGCTATTTTCAGTGGGTCAGTAGATGATAATATATTATCATGAAAGCAAAAAAAATAGCAACAAAGATAAGTTTAACACCAATATTCAAAGAAATGCACAACAGTGGTTTCATATTCTATTTTTTAATTAAATTTTCAATAAGTGAAAATATTATAGACAATAAATCTGAAGCAAATAAAATATGTTTCTTTTTATTGCGTTATATGTTTTGAATTATGATAGGAACAAAATAATGAAGCAAGGCATAGAAAAGTTAGTTACGGTTATATCTTAAACCTGGATTTATCAGAAAGATTCCATCATTTTTTATTTCATTTTTAGGGGTGGAGTTTACAACGAACCAGCCTGCAGCCACCATACGGACCATTGCGTGTTGGCCGTTGGTTATGGAACCATGAGTGGAAAAGCCTACTGGCTGGTGAAAAACAGGTGCGTGTACATTTTGAAAATCTTGATTATAGAAATACAATTCGCGTTAACCTTTATACAGAGAAAAAACCCCTGGAAATTTCAATATTAATTACCGTTACGATTGGAATTCACAGGTCTCCATCTGTATCAAGGGAGTGGTTAAACATTGGAAACTTCAAAAATATGCAATTTGTCAACGGTCTGAATATTTCATTTCAGCTGGGGTACCAACTGGGGAGTCAAAGGATATATCTACATGTCCCGAAACAAGGGCAACCAGTGCGCTATTGCATCGTATGGAACGTATTCCAAATGAGAAGTCTTAAATGAAACGTTAGCAGAGACATGCTAAGTATATGCATCCCTGTATCCCTGAGCCAGATTATAACGTTGGAGGTTCTGTTGATTTATGGACAATGAAGAACATCAACCTGCTGATAATGAGATTATCAAATGTGAAGCACAAAAAGGAATGTCAGCGACAATTCGATAATACACATTGCTAACGTGAAGTTCGATATACGATGAGTTTTTATATAATAAATATTTAATTTTCAAAAACAAATCAAATATATTTAGTTTTATATTGTCGTATGCCTTTTTCGGCAGCGTAAAAATACAAATCAAGTTCCATATTTTGGTGCGTCCAGTTGTAGTTACATCAAGTAAAACGTCCTAAAGGCTGTAAAACCGATTAAAATATTTCAATAATAGGTCCCGCGTATCAAGACGGTTGCATGTAGACTGGAAGTTCAAATGCGTTTAATGTGTGAATGGAGTGTTATTATGCTACAGCTAGACACCTCTTAATTGTTCACCTGCGTGACTGTCCACAAACCTGTGTAAATATTAATTATTCATTCTACAATTTTGAGGCACGAGACATAAACAGAAGCGGCTCGTTGGTCTAGGGGTATGATTCTCGCTTTGGGTGCGAGAGGTCCCGGGTTCAAATCCCGGACGAGCCCAATACCTTTTGATTGTTTTATTTGGTTACTAAATTAATTGGATAAAGGTAACCGCGCTTCCAACCCACAGTGGCACTTGCGAAAGGGACCGCGGCGGCATAGCAAAAAGATTTGGGTTAAAGATCATTGTTCGCTCTTGATGGTTACTTATGCATTCCGAACATTTAACAACATTTTAAGTTTTTTAGGCCCGATTTTTTTAGCTTGACAAGACCGACAAGACTGTTGAATATCAATTTCATTAAGGCGGTAATTTTTCTTAATTGTAGACTTCATTCAGAAATCTCCATTTCCATCGCGCCAGTAGAATAAACTGTACAGGTACGTTTCAAATATTATAAAGGACAACATAAAACCATCCCACGAGATGATGAGTGTTAAAAAGTTTATTTTAAAACAGAGCAAAAAGGTATCTTGTCCATAATATCAATTCTGAATGATGTAAACACGTTTGAAAGACAAAGTAATAAAATAAGATAAGAAATACAATATCTTGATTAAAACAGATCGATACATAGAGAGTTATAAAGTCCAATTAACAATTAAAATTATAATTGTTTAAAAAGAGTGCGTGCCTACACCACTTTCAGTCAGCATTAATGTCTAAAAAGCATGTGACATCAACCGCGTCTTTTATGTTTAGGCACCGACTTAAAAAGTTCCCTCATCAAGTGGTTAGAAAACCGCCTCCCCCGGGGATCCAGCTGGTCCCGAACCTTCAGGAACTCTCGTGTACACTGACGGTTATTGGGATCGTTCAGCTTCTGGCGAAGTTCGGGGAAGAGCCCCGCCATCTTGGCCCAATGTGGCATTCCAGAGAGTCCGATTTGGTCCAGCTGAGAGTAAATCTGTGAATGACATTTAATTATCACGAGAAATAAACACATTCACTCATGTAACCAATTATGTCGTTTACCCTCTAGGTCGAATTCATTCATCAACGGTCAATAATAAGGGGAGACAAAATTGAGGAGTTGGCTGAAGAGAGTCAACTCTGTATGCAGGGTCTGTGGAGCATTTTTCTCTATAAAAATACATGTAAAAAAAAAACTTATTTTACTAATGAAACACGGATAGATAACGCATAGATTGTTCAACAATAAGTTATCTGATTTGTTTAAGATTCGTATCATATTATACACACCGACTGAACGAATTGTTTGAATCCTTCCAAAGCTTCCACTGGTTCACCAAGCCCGACTACCTCCAGTGCTAAGTAGCGGGAATCTCCTGGGACGCCGCAAGTGTCTGATCTACCGGGACAGAGAAAGCAGTCCGTCTCCTTAACCCAGCGCATTTCCACCAAACCTACAGGCAGGATACCCCGAGTAAAGGAAGCGCCCTCTATCGCCGACACCATTGCCTGCAACACCAAGGACAATATATTACAATTAACGTTTATTTAATAAAATATATAGGTCTTCTTCGATGGCTGTGCAACGTGGATACGTATCATACATATCTTTGGTCGAACGCTACTATTAAAATTGCACGTAAAGTACCCGGGTGCATATAGCCTTATAAGTGCAATTTTTGTTTGTCTTCGTATATGTACGTTATTTAAACATCTAAGTCTGCTATTTTAATTTTTTTATATTAAACGTTGGTTGTGAAGAATGGTTTACGCGGTAAAAGCGATAATATGAAGAATGGTATATAATATATATTGATCCATTTCCACAAACTTGAAGTGCCACTGTGTTGGTTGAGAATTCCTCGGTTTCTTTTATGAAGGATGCCATGGTAACCATGGGAGGGAGGGCATGGGCGTCGACACCATGGATTGCGAAAGGCTTTGGGATCACAACGGGTTCTGAGATGGAGAGGTTGGTCGCAAGAAATTCAAACATTTGCTGGAAATAACGAGTTATATTTGCAAAGTTGACTGAATTATTTGACCCTTTCCAAGTTAATAATAATAATAATAATAATAATAATAATAATAATTATTATTATTATTATTATTATTTTGTTATTGCTTCGTTGCCACAAGTTTTAATACTTTACCAAAAACAATAATTTCACTGTGTTGCACTTCGTTGACCATCTATATACTATTATTTTGCTAAATTTTACAAGATTTATAGTGCAGGTTTGCAAAAACGAAAGTGTATTGCAACTGAACAGTTGAATAAATATGTAGCTTCAGATATTGCCACAGGAAGACTAATATTGAATAGAAATTGAGATAATAAACACACCTGTCCTGCTGATATAGGAGTCACACCGAGATTGGGAGTGACCTTGAAATCCAGGTCAAGGTCAGGCTCGGTTCCATTGACGTGGGCAATACTGAAAATATGAAAAGACAACACTGCAATCATAGCACAAACCATAGATAAACTATAGTGTTAGTAATTTATTTTTCCGGCCTTGATATGCACGGTGAAGTATGTATATCAACAAGAGAGTTGAAAACAGTGTGACTTCATCATTGCAACAACTTTTTTATAAGAATTAAAAATACCACTGTTACATATTGTCTAAGAACGTTTGAGTTGGTACCTTCAGATTGGGATAATATTTGATAAAAGTTCACAAGAAATGTGAAATTTTCACGGTGATTTTAATCAAGCACAATGCCGCAATATCATTTCACCATGCACCCCTTCAAAGGGGCACACTCGTTAAAAGGGAATTGAAAATAATCGAAAACTTAAGCAGTATTCAAATATTTTTTGACGAAGCATTCCATGTTAACAGTTATTCTAATACTGATAAATTGCAAAACTCGCAAAACCGCAAGTTTTATTATATGCATATTTTCGCCGAAGAAGAAATGACATCCATACATTTACTAATGCATAGGGTACATGTATACGGTACTCGCTAGTATCTTGTCAAATTTGAGGATATACAGGCTGAGCGTAGCACATACCTCAACCAAACGAGATCCTCTTCGATGTTCCAGGTGGTTGGCACGCTTCCATTGGTGATCGTCTCTTGAACTTCCTCTTCCGTTAGAGAATTATATACTGCCCAACGAGCCTCGACGTAGTAATTCCGGGTTACGAGCTCCTTAACAAACGTTGCATTTAGCATCTGGCTGAGCGGGACAAACGCCGTAAAAACTTTCATCATTCGAATTGGTTCCACCTAAACGTAGGATAGCCAGATGTTTTATGTTAACAAAGTGATAAGTGTTTGTGTATAAGTAGCTTAAAATGATACTCATTTAGTACTTTTTGATTCCAATATTTGTGTAAAATTGCGTAATGATTTTTTTTCCTTTACAAATTGGTTTGTTAGGTTAAAGTCGTGTTTATTTTTTTGAGATCACACAGAGATGCGATTTTTCGTCGTGTACAGAAAATCGCCTCTAACCTTAATTTCTACTTCCACAATGACACCCAGCAACCCAAGATGGCATCTCAAGGCGCGCAGAACATCCGGGTTTTTAGAGGCCGAAAACTGCCGGAGTCTACCGTAGGCATCAAACAGTTTTGCCGATTTCAGGTGGCCACCAATGCTAGGTTCATCATAGCTTCCACCCTACGGATAAGGTAACAGAATATGAAAAAATAAGATTACGCTGTTTTGAAATTAAAACAAGACAAACTGATGAGTTTATGATTCCAACTTTACCCTAAAATGTAAACTTACTTGATTTGTGGTGCAGAAATACGATACTTCATATAATTGTAAGTAATACAACATCGCTACAAATAAAGCCACATTTGGGTGATTGCTGCATGTACCAATTTATCAACAGCCTCATGCAAAATTGGAGACAAACTCACGTGAGCGGCCGTTCCAAGTCCTCCAGCCATCGTGACCTGTATAGGCCGCGGTCCCGTGACCAAAGTATGACCAACACTCAGGAGAAACGAGTCCAATTCACCCTGGCTGACTCCAGCTGCAACAGTCACAGTGGAGTATGGGGTATTCATGGTCTGAAACAGTTTGTTTGTATGCACCTTAATTTGTTTGGACGACTAAGTTTCACCTTTTAACAAAAAGGGTGAATGTATGATGTAAGTGTTGTAATGTACATTTACGACAAGATGAAATACATATATTTCACATTTAATTTCCTCAAAACACTCTAGATAAATAACCTGAACGGTCTGAGAAAAGTAATAAAGTTTGAAATTACAAGACATTTCAAAATGAAAAGTTAACGCACCGGTGGGTTAAATACGGCCCTCTGTCCGTTCTCTAGCGTCAGATCAGCGAGGTCCAGAAGAATCTGGCCGTTATCAGGAAAAAGGTCTGACCAGGACAGTGCAGAAGCGCCCGCTACACGTATCCTTAAGTTCATTTGCATGGCCGCCTTTATAACCTTCTTTACCTAAATTAAAATTAATTCAATTCGTATTTTAACAGCACCATCAGCAATCTCGACGAAATGAAATGTGCGTAAGGAAAAATGTACATATACAGACGACAGCGTTTTATAGAAAGATGATATTGGAATAGGCGCTTTACTTTGCGATAGGTGGATAGATATTATACTAGTAAAAAGATAGATAAATAGATAAACACTTTGACATGTTCCTTTTCACCTCTTCGTTAGTAGTAGGTTTGATGACAAACACGTGATCGCGTCGCACGATCTCCGCCCAGTTGACAAACGGTTCCAGTCGGACTTGTGGCGCCGGTCCGATGGCTTCCTGCAGACATGCGCGCACTTTTTCCATATCCTTCACTGTGTTATCTGGGATAAAGAATACAGAGAAATAAAGGTGTTTTTAAAGGGCTCTCGTTTATAGTATAATTCAAAAACGTACAGAAATGAACTTTTATATTTAGTATAATTCTGTACGTCATTATTATTATTATTATTATTATTATTATTATTATTATATCAATGACAAAAATGTTATCGAAAACATATAATCATTAGGGCAAAATATAAGTTGTATAACTTACACGGTGTTTCAGATTAATTGCCAGCATAGTAGAAAAGTTACCATTCTAATGAAGTGAGGGTTTAATTTGCATGACAGCTGACAGTGTTTAAAATATAGTGCCACATATACGGTACATAGATCAGCTTTGAGGACAACGGTACCATACTTCTGATCGAAGATGAGGCCACATACGAAATTGGCGCGCGCTGGCGTCTGTAACTACACATGGTGAAGAAAGGCAATTAATCTACTCACCGTTTTCTTGGTGCCGCGATAGCATGTCATACCAGCGTCTTCCAGGGCTATGGCGTGGTCTACACCTTCTCAAACGTCCTGGACCTCTGCGAGCCCCGCCTTTGGACCGTTTGCCATCAGCTACGAGAAGTTATTACAGATATTATTTAGGTACAGTCGTACTAGTGGATCTATAAAATAATTACTAAGTGATAGATACAACACGAGTCGCCGAGCTGTACGTGAAATATTACGAGTGTATCGTCGAGCCGTAGATTGGCTACTACACTGCCCTTGTGATATTTTGCTCATACATGTTAGGGTGGTCCCTAAGTCCTGCGTTGGACGATGGAGGACAAGGCTGAACACGTCTTTACAGCCCCCTCGACCAAAGTCAGCCCCGGCCGCTTCGTGCAGCAGCAGCAGCAGTTTAGATACCGAGAAGTTCTCAAAATACACTATTTTTTCCCCCATCATGTAATGATGACGATAAGGATACCTTGATATTGCATGTGCCTTCACAAGTTCACAGTCAGGTGCCTGCGCGGCTAAACAGCTGATACCGGTGCTTCAGATCATTTGATAATGTAAAGAACTCATGACTGGCTGTTATATTTCATGTGCACTCGGAATAGAAATATGCCACTTTCAAAAACACCTGATAAGTCCCTTAAGGTGAAATAAAGAGTATTAGCACCATGAATGAACTTATTTTAGTAACAGTTATGCAGTTTTTTTTCAGACAGCAAATAAAGATTGCCGCCCCAATAATTACAATGTACTAGTACTCCCTAGACGTCAATAATACAATAGTAAGGAATCGTAAAAAAGTATGTTTTTGCTTTGATGTTGAACATGACGTGATATTTACAGAGTAAAGAGCACGCACAATGCGCTGTATTCTTGTTAAAGAAAAGTATAATATAGAAAACTTAGACATCACCTATATCCGAGAGAGCAGCCAACAAAATGTACAGTATCAAAAAGGCGTATATACATGTATTACAGCAAACTGCCATCTTCCAGGTTCGACGAATAAATGACTACACGTGCGGTGGCCTGGCATCAGTGACTTTATATGCCACTGTTGTGGGCCATTTAGACAAGTGCTCTCGTACTTTACCGCTGACACGCCTGTTATCTTTTCTCTTGAGTCAATACCTATTCAAGATGACGATTGCGATATCGTTGCGGACTTGATTACTTTTTAAATTATGGAGCTTGCCCCATGGGCTGGTTTGCATCCTACGAGATCATGTAGCTAACATATCTCATGAAATTATCTATGCATTGTAGGATTTTCAGGCTTTGAAGTATATTTTTAAGTGTATGAGTAGTAGCGGGCTTAGTTACAAAACTCACACCACTTCGAGCTGTGTTCAATACATGTACCATATTGGTGAGTCCTTTATATAGACTGACGAATGCAACTATAGCTGTGCATATCATTTATTTCTAAAACACATGAATATAATCATACTTTACATAGTTAAAAACTGACGTGAATTGTTTGCCATGACAAATTTATTTCGTTTATTGAAAGATGTTGCAACAATTCCAGTAACGATCCAATACACAAAGCAAAGCACGGTAAGTTAAAAGAAGTACTAGATAATTTAACAATTTAAAGGAATTATTCCAGGCAAAAGTCTTTAGGACTCTGTGTGCAAAATAACAATATTGTGCAGTCATCAATGATTTGTAAATAGATTAAGCTCCAGAGTTCAGAAATGCGTGTAGTAGGCGTGGCAGTAGGGATTGTGGTAGATGTGCTATACTAAATGTGTTAGATGCGACAATCATTAATAAGGCAGGTAAAATAAAGAATCTGAAACTTCAGTACCCTCTTCATAACACGGGCACCATGAGAAGATTCGACTTCGACGATATAGCCAGAAAATTTCAGTCTATATATATCGTGACAAAAAGAAACGTCTCACAAAATTTGTATAAGGTTAAGGATAATTCCACTGGAATAGAAAATATGCAGAGGCTTCTGTATTTGGGTTGCAAAGGTTTTACAGAGGTGCAACAGGGTGAATTTGTTCCGTTTATATGTTATTATATATTCAGTTTAGTATGGGAGTTCTAAATAGTCTCATTAACACTTCGCTCTACAACGTTGCAAATCTGACAGAGGTGACCGCAATAAGAATGATCTATTAACAATTGCGGTAGACGTGACTACAGTATGTCGAATGCTACGCTGAATGTGACAAACGGTGCACAATACACGAGCCAATGCTCAAATCAAGTACCAAAATGCCTCGTTAACCAAAAAATCCCGCAAATATATTTCCAGGTAAGATGCGTCGGAGGAAACGGTTAGAAAATCGCCATCCCAAAATGTCCATTTCAGCTCGTACTCGTAAGAATTCGCGTGTACACTGACGATTAGCGAGGTTATTTAGTTTGGATTTAAGCGAAGGAATTGATTCCGCCATCTTGGCCCAATGAGGCATCCCTTCCAGGCCTATCTGGTCAAGCTGAGTGAAGACCTGTGGAGAAAAAAAGTTCACCTTTAAAAAAGCATAAACAACGACCCCTAATTAAATGATATTTCTACTGATGTTTAAATCTTCTTTTCAAGTGTTTTAGCCCCCACTCAAAGTGGAGAAGAGTCATAAGGGCAATCAAAGAAAAGGTCCAGTTATAAATCGCCCTCTTTAAAGTGACATTTTGATAAGGTCAGAATGTACATGTATTTCTATGTTACTTTTTAATTTCAAAGACAGTTTTTTAAAAACGAAACTAATGTCTGTATTTGAGTTTGAAATTAACAGTTTCGCCATCCTCATAGAGCGATCGGAAAGGTTTTTAACGCTTATGGAACGGTAAAAAAAAGAAAGAAAAAGAGAAGAAAAACTTACCGTGTTAGCAAACACTTTGTACCCTTCAAACGCCTCGGTCGGTTGTACCAGTCCCTGTATCTCCATGGTCAGGTAGTGAGAGTCGCTGGGAAATCCACACACATCTGCCTTACCAGGACAGAGAGTACAGTCCGTTCCCTTGATCCAGCGCATTTCTACAATCCCTAGTGGCAAGATGCCATTAGCGTAGGACGCGCCCTCTATTGAAGCGGCAACTACCTAAAACCAAAATATGTGAGTACCATTTAACTCCAGTGCTCTCTTTTTTATATATCTATATACATATTTCATCGAATGTCGTTCTTGTTACAGCATATACAAATTTGATAGCTAGATGGCGCGAAGCTGTGCTAACCATTTTACAAGAATTACAAAATATTATTGTATGCTGCTATCGCTCTCTCTCCCCTCTCTGTCATTGCTCTTGTTGGTGTGTGTGGGGGAGTTAAAAATATAACACTGTAAAACTCCTATCTTCTTATTAAAAATGCTACAGCAAAAGACGTACAGGGTGAAGGCGACATCGGAGGTATTCCATGAACCCAGTATTGGGTACGCTGAAGAAACTGAAGAAGTCAATATTACAGCATACGCCATTCCCACTGCATTAAACAGATTAAATCTTTTTTTTTTTAATTCTGCCTTGGAGCTCCTCACCTGCAGCGCTGTCACCGTACTTAAGAACTGCGGCATTTCTGGAATAGTATACTCCATTGCAGAGACAGGCGGTATGTTGGTCGCATTCAATGGGTGAATGGCGAACGGTTTTGGAAGGACGATAGGATCAGCAATAAAGCCTTCCGTTGCGAGGAAAGCAAATATATTCTGGAAAAAAATATTAGGAAAATGATATTTTGATTGAAATTCAGACATAATTTTATTGTGCTGTCTGTAGGAGGGTGTCTGTGCGTGCAAAAGAAAGCTACAGTTGCGTATACTGATCTGTAACGCGTTTCCCATTTTAATCAATCAATTAGAGAAAAGTAACATGGGACGCAAATGACAATGTGCAATGCTTATAAATTGAAGTAAAAATTAAAACGAACAAAAATACCCTTTAATGATCTAGAAATAAATATAAGAATAACTGGCAAAGACGATGGAAGTAATACAAGAGATTGTGATGAAAGAAAGACAAAATTTTCTATAAAAAGATAAGCCGCAATAAATGTCTGTATAGTTTCGTTTTCTTTCTCTTTTTGGCTTTGAATTTACATTGGGTTTACTACTTACCTGCCCAAATGAAATCGAGGTCACATTCAAGTCATATGTCACATTGAAATCAAGGTCAAGGTCAGGAGCAGTTCCATTCGGATTGATAAAACTGAAAAAAAAAAATAATAAGAGAGTTGACTGTGAAAAAAAAACTCTCTGGTAATTAAATAAGTATAAATTTAATTACATTCAAACTTCTGATCCGTTGCGCATATTTTAATATCCTGGTTTACGGAAGAGGTACATGTAACGTATTGCTGAAAACTACAATAATTGTACCTTAAAGCTAGCCTGCTGCTGAATATTCCGTTCACATAAATGTAAAAGCCCTGTAGTACATCGTGTAGATTTAAAATGCTTAGCATATCAAATAAGGAAAGCTAACAAAGAAGCGAATATACTGCATGAAAATAACGAGCAAAAAAAATTAATATTAACAAAAATCAGCCTCAAAATCTACGGGTACCTCAGCCACACAAGGTCCGCCGCACTGGTCCACGAGGTCGGCACTTTCCCACTGGCGTTCGTCTGTTGGACCTCTTCTTCCGTCAAGGAATTGTACGTCGCCCAGCGTGCCTCCACGTAGTAATTACTTGTGACAATTTGGTTAACAAAGGTAGCGTTAAGCATCTGAGCCAAGGGGACAAACGCCGTGAACATCGACACCATTTGAAGTGGTTCTACCTGTTAGTCAGCATAAGATGTAAAACGCTGTTAGAAATCTCAAGAAGAGTTGAAAATATGTCTAAGGATTATCAATTGCCACAATAAAGCAGCAAACGATGAGAGTATCAGATGCAAAGTTATAAGGACAATCCTTGTTGGGCTATATTCCTACTACATCAATTACTGGGGATCCGCGTTTCGCAACCAAAGAAAATTGCAATCACGGCGCATTTCGCAATCAAACAATTTTGAACAGAAAAACGTACCCTTTTCAACTTTAGTTCAACTCTTTACAAACCCTTCGTAACTAAACATTAATTTCACTGCAAAACACGTCGTGTTTATACATTTTGTAAGGAGCAACTCAACACAACTTTGATACTAAAAGCAGCATACAGTAAAACAAGACGTTTTGAAAGTAGATTTTCTCGAAAAGTCAGAAGAACAATTTCCACCAAGCCACCGCTAGATGTAGTGTTGTAGTTTCAGCACCCTTCGCTCAATCTACCACTAGAATATAACGAGAGAACCATCTTATAACTTACTACATTGTAAAAGTCATTTCGTGGAGCAAGCCTCGATCTGTATATCAGGTAGTCCTTACCTTCATTTCCACTTCGACAATGACACCCAGCAATCCCAGGTGGGAGCGCATTGCACGTAGGACGGCCGGGTTCGCGGAGGCCGTGAAGTACTTCTGTCTCCCACGGGCGTCATACACCCTCACGGACTCTAGGTAGCCACCAATACTAGGCTCGGTATAGCTTCCTCCCTTTATTATACAGATGGATAATATTATGAGCACATGAGCGTTCTGTTTTTGTAGCGAGCACAATTTGAAAACAAATTGTAACCCTACACGCAGGTCAGTAGTTTAACTTGACATTAGGAAAGGATAGAGATGATTATTTTCAATTTACATCTATTCAATAATTTTCAAGAAAAGGGTAGGGATTAAAACATTACTTACATGAGAGGCGGTTCCAATGGCCCCTGCAATAGTGACGCCTTTAGGTTGTGGTCCACTGGCCATTGCGTGACCTACATTCAGTAGAAACAAGTCCAGTTCGTCTTGCCTCACTCCACCAGCGACAGTCACTGTTGAATATGGTCTTTCGGCTGCCTGGTAAAACAAATGGGAACATTACATGTATTACCACCATTGATGTAGGGCCTACTTTCTGTCTACCAGTACCATTAACTCTTTTTCAAAATTTAAAAGTGATAAACCATACTTTTATGCTCACAACATTTTTTTTTGTTTTTGTTTTATATGAATTACCCAACAAAACTAAATTAGGGATATTTCGATGATTTGGAAAGTAGGCGGCTTTTCATTAAATAAAAGATCAATAGAAATAAAATGGTGTGATCATCTAGGAGCTCTAAGTAAATGTAACTGACCGGAGGGTTGAAGATCGCCCGCTGTCCACCCTCCAGAGTGAGGAGAGCAAGGTCCAGAAGAATCTGTCCTTCATCCGGGAAGAGTTCCGACCATGAAAGAGCCGACGCACCAGCCACACGGATTTTGCGGTTGAAGCGTATGGCCGCTCTGATAACCTTACGTACCTTTATTGTGAAAAATTGTAATTTTCTTTAGAATTTTTCTTTTTAGCATATTGAAAATTTCAAAAATTAATGAAAAGAAAACAATAATGATGATCACAGATAGAGAGAAAGAGAGAGAGAGTTTTACCTCTGCGTTTGTTGTAGGTTTTATGACAAGCACGTGATCCCGTCTAACAATTGTCGCCCAGTTGATAAACGGTTCCAGTTGGACTTGAGGAGAGGACCCAAGGGCATTCTGCATGCATGTCTGTAATCTCTCTAAATTCGGCAGGCTGGCTAGAATAAAGAAAGTATCTTTCGTGGACACATGTTTAGTTTTCACGCCAGCAGGAGGCTCTTAATAAAAAAATCAAACGTCAACATACAGCCCACCAATACCCGACGCCTCTTGCTTCTGCATCGTTGTATTGATATATCAGAAAAATACTTGATTTTTTTGCCCAAAGCTAAACAGAGTTAAAAGACAGACGGAGGCCCACTGCTAGTTATCCAAGATATAGGTAAGAAGTCACATTGCTGTCCACATTCTGTGACACCTACCCAGTTTAAGTCCTGGCCTGGAGGTGTTATTGTCACGGCGTGAGGACTATACACTCGACCAGAAGGTTCGGCAACATAGTTATGCTTAATAATTATGAAATAACCATATGAGCTAAGGTAAATATTTTTACTAAATATTGATGGATAATGCACCCATCATTCGTTCCTTTTTTATACAAACTGAAGATTTCCCCACTATATATTACATAGTTTATAATTTTGAAAAGCAATTTCATGTTTCCAAACTTTTTGGGGTCGAGTGTACACACAAGTATAGGTGATTCATATAAATTTACGCGCTGATAACTCTCTCTGCCTCCAAAATCGTGATGTCTGTATTGGATTGCCTAAGGCAGCGTTTTCAACACCAATAGTGACGACAAGCGTGAACGAGAAATGATTCGTCTTTTGACAATGGGGAGGAAGTGTAAAGGGTAGCTATGTTTGTATTTGTAGTCGAAGTGCTTCAGCACCTTCAATCAGGACCGCAGATCAATTATATCAGGCCCGTAGCCAGAGGGTGTTCCGGGTTGGGGGGGGGGGGGGTTCGAAAGAATTCCCCTTTTTGACGGGAAAAGGTCCCCTCTTGGTAAAATTTTATCTAGGTACATGAAATTTTTATGGTAAAAGGTCCACTTTATCAGGAAAAGAACCCCCCTTTTGAAACTGCGGGCTACGGACATGTATATGCATTTTTCTCCAGCGCGAAAGTCTCATCTTTGGTTTTTAGTTTTATTTTACCGATGAAGATGACAGCAGAGATCAAGCATAGTTACAGCAAACCAAGCAATCAAGATCAGAGCAACTACACACAATGGACAATAGAAGTGTCACCCCCTGAATTGGAATAATCAAAGTAGGTAGATCTTGAGTAGTTATAATGCCTGGTCTACTTATAATGTGACTAATGAGTATACAACCGCATGGAATTGTATTGTTGGTCTTTTTGTGAATTTTGATGTTTATAAAATGATACCAGGAGCATATCATTCCACAGTCATTTATCTCCCCCGAATTATTGGTTCAGTAGGGGTGACACTTCTAACGTCCAGTGTGTCTACAGTAACTGTCTTGATTGCTGTCAGTTGGACTAGGCAGGGACTTGTCAGGTGGCAGGGCCTGAGTATAGTTATACCAACAATTACCAACCCCGAATAATTACCTGTGAGACTTCAGAACAGGGTTGCAGTGGAGGTTTGTGTCGTAAATTAGGCAGAGACATATACCCGTTAAATTAAGTGAAAATTCAATCTGTGACCCTGGTAAACGGTAGTGCTGCAGAGATGCATGTATGTCAGTATGTATGACGGTATATGTATATGCGGAGACTGTTCACCAATATCGGTGAAAGCTATATATTTTAAAAGATGCTGTTGCTTCATTTGTATTTGTGAAATTTTGCAATAGGCATACTGAGTGCAACAGACGTGATTAACTGGTGCATATTTATAAGTGCACTATACACATGTACATGTAGATATTGACGAAAACATGAAAAATGAGAAAATCTAACAACTGACATTTTAGACAAAATTAAATGCTGTAGAGTGAAGGCAATCGAACTTATAAATGAATTGATGAATGGATAAGTAAATGGATTTACCTTAAAGTCCTAGACAAGGAGGAAAAGGGAATTTAGAAAAGACACCACTTTCCTGAGCCCAATTTTCTAGCGTTATGTAACTACCTATATGTGCATATGCATGGAAATTTGAAAAGCTTCAAGTGACAAATGGTCTGCATATGAGCTCTACCTAGAATTAAATCGGTTAATTTTGTCAAAGACAAATGTGGCCCACATTCCTGCATTGTATTCCCCAGTAAACACTGCTCACCCTATACTCACCGGGAAAAAACCCAATCCACCAGCACGATATAGCAAACGTAGCTCCTCCAAAGAACATGGCATCAATCTTCAATATGTATCTTCAATGCTAATGGTACCTGTACTGCGGGAAACAGCTATTATATCCTAGGTCAGGTGACATGAAGGTGTGAGAGACCCCGAGGGAATCGGACGTTGTCTCTATAAATCATACCGTCAGTAGATGCGTTTGATGGTAAACTTAATCTTGGTATTTAAATTATAATATAATTTAAATCATTTTTATTTATTTATATATTTATTATTATTTTTTGTAAGTCCTGTACGCCAAACGCATTTTGAATCCATATGTTAAGGCGTAGCATGTCATTTATCTATAACAGCAGAAGGAGCCAACCTTGAAAGAAGTTTTATTCTCTATTCTAAACTTTGATGTACTGAGCGTGGACACGCACCGTATAACGTCACGCGCCCCACCAGTCATGCTACCAGGTACCCGTCACGACTTCGTGGAAAGGGGGTGTGACAAGTTTGCTGATTTATTTTGTTTATCGCACTGCTAAAAAGACAGCTTGTACGGCTGGAGGGGGAATGGTATGTTTTACTGTCTTACGCACAATTCTTCCTTTGAATATTTTCAAAATAGCATGACAGACCAATTTTACCATTTCTGTAATCATTGAAATAAATTCTGATCATCTTCGGATGGTTTTGTTTAATTTAAAATGTCCAAATGAGTCCTTTTGGTGACATCGGGTCTATAATACATTGTAGCTTTTAAAAACAGACACTGCTTAGCAAAGAAAAAAATTAATTTAACCACAGTGTATATCCCAGCTAAGCAATTGTTGAAAATGGCAACTGCTCGGAGTAAGCGGTACAGCACCACCCAAGACCACGACAGGCCTCCATTGTCACATTTTTGTTTACGTTGACTGCATTCGCCAACCAGATCCATACTTTGCCAAAAATTTGTGATGTTATTTACCCCAACGATCGATAATTATATGCGAGATCAAAAGAATTTTTTTTTTTTTGAGCAATTGCAGGGTTTCAACGCGAGAAATCGCAGCTCTGTCTTTGACATGTATCTTGCGGGGCAGAGACTGAAGAGAGGCGAGTCTCCAGCATCTTCTGAATTTCCAGGTAGGAATGGCAGAAACATCAAGCCATTTTGAACAAACCGAACACATTGTTTTCTTCTGTGATTTAATTCCATTCGTTTGCTTAATAAATGCATATTTCAATTAAGCAACGTACATCTTTACATAGGAAATAATAATCATTTTATTACAGAACGCTGTCGACGAAGTTTAGGTGTGGATTATCATCAAAGAAATCGCACGAACTCTCGGGTCCCTTATATATACATGCTCCATTGAACTTACAGTTGCCGAACAATTACCCAAATCAATTGTAAATATACATATAAGAGGGGTCGATGAATATGGTCCTCAGGAAGTTGTTAGAAAACATATATCCTTGAGGGTCTATCTGGTCGCGGACTTTGAGGAACTCCCGTTGACACTGGCGGTTCTCAGGGTCATGTAATCGCTGTCGAAGACCCGGGAAAGTGGTCAGCATCTTAGCCCAGTTAGGAAGACCAGAAAGTCCCACTTGGTTAAGCTGAGAGAGCACCTGCGATTAAATAGTTTCAACGCGTCTTTATTATGCACAACATATACGAAATCAACTGCAATGTTTGGAGGCTTAATTATTTGTGCGTCTTTGCATTTGTTCTTTTGGTACCGAAATAACAATTTGTATGTATGTAGCTACTCTCTACCAGAGGGATTTTATAACTGTTTCAAATTTGTATATCAGACCTTATACAATTAAAATATAACCATTATGAAATAAATCAAAGGAATATAGCCATCTATCCTGCAATGTACATTTCTCTTTCGATACTAAATCAAAGACAAAATGAAGATACGTAGCTACAGTATAATAAGTGGGCTTTGAGTGCTGACTGGGTTATCTGACATTTTTAACACATGGCGGATGATAATGCAATACATACGGCAGTAGTAAATTGCTTATAGCCTTCAAACGCCTCAGTCGGTTGTACCAGACCCTGTATTTCCATGGTCAGGTAGTGAGAGTTGCTGGGAAATCCACACACATCTGCCTTACCAGGACAGAGAAAACAGTCTGTGCCCTTGATCCAGCGCATTTCTACGATCCCTAGAGGCAGGATGCCATTAGCGTAGGAAGCGCCCTCTATTGAAGCGGCAACTACCTAAAACCAAAAAGTTTGGAAATTTCCTTATGCATGAATCACAGGCATCGACTTAATGGTACATACATGTACATATTGAGTATTTCAGCGCAAAACGACTTGAGAAGTTCCTTGGTAGAGATTTTGTTTACAGCATTTAGGGTCTCCCAAATATACTGTGTTGGATGTGCTGAAACACGACTACCACTAATTGTGTTAGATATGCCAATATGTTAGAAGCAAGTTGTTTTCCACGTTTGACAAAGTGTGTTTTGTATATTTGAGTATGGACGTGGTCTATATCTGACATATTACACATAGCATCACATTTAAAACATGACCATTGCGTACAATACACATGGGCAACATATAAGCATATAATATTCAAAAGTCGTCCAACTCTCAGGTTGTATTTATTTCCAATGTTTTAAAATATAAAAGTGTGCCAAATAAATGTTTCCAATAAAGTTACTTGTCTGGTTTACGCCGTCGAGACCACTTTGAAAATTATAAAAAACTATAACAAATGACAATTATTCAACAAAAGCTGAGCACTATCTTCCAACCGTTAGCTTGGTATACATGTATATGGGCGTAGGCCTGTAGGAAGCCGATGTTCAGCTGGTGTTGAATAGTTGTTTTCTGTAATGCTATTACCAAGCTAATGGACATATTTGCTTATAAATAAGTTTCTCCCTGCCTGCCCCTTCCTAGATATGTAAACATATTAAAACTTAGAAATCGTGTGAGATTCCGTCGTTTGGTTGAACTCAATTCACTCCAGCTTTCCCATACATACACGCACCGCCGCCTCCCACGGTTAGATGGAAACTTACCAACTGCTTTCACAATAATTGCATCAATTTCTAAAACTAAAAGATAATTTATTAACTGTACGAACCTGAAAGGCTGATACCGTACTTGTGAAAGAAGGGTTTTCTCTGATGGTTGTTTCCGTGGCAGTCACGGTTGGAATGGCGCTAGCATTCAGGCCGTGAATGGCGAAAGGCTTTGGGACAACAACTGGATTAGCGATAAATCTTCTAGTCGCGAGGGCAGCAAATATGCGCTGGAAATAAAATATGGTTTGAAAAAAGTAACTCGACAAATTGAAATGTGCATCTACTTCATTTGTAATTATGCACTTGCAAGCTTTTTTCAAAGGTACCTTTTAAGATTTGACGAATAGGGCACACTATACGACATATTTTCAGAATTAGGTTATTATATCATAATATCTTCAATTGAGCAATTTATCAACTTATAGAATATCTTCGGTCTTAAGACATACAGTTTATGCTAACATCACACTAATACATGGACCTACCGTTAGAATTATTTACTACAAATCGGATAAACTTTTATCGCCTTCCTAAAAGGGCGCTCTCTTACCTTCAGTGCTCGTTTTTTGTCCACTTTTAGGTAAAGGGTGGGGGTGAGAAACGTTTCAAAAAGAAGACGAATTGGCCACTATATAGGCTATACTAGTACGGTTATACCAGAGTACTTTTGATGTGAAGAAAACATCTACAATTGAAAGATCGTTGTCGGAACAGACATTTCTATCGCTTCATAACTTGCAGCTCACCTGCCCGAATGAAATAGGTGTCACATTCAGGTCAAAGTTTACGTCAAAGTCAAGGTCAAGGTCAGGCTCCGTTCCATTCGGATTGATAAAACTATCAATAATAAAGAACACGTAAGAATGAACAAATATGTTCACTTTACTGTTAAATCTTATTTTTCACAAGTATAAGGAAAAAGTTAAACGGAATACACAATTACTAGTATTAAAGAAAAATGTTCATTCTTAACAGTAAAATCACTAACAGATAAACAAGGTAGTGCATTTTGATGGTTATCATCCAAAGGTATAAAAGTGTTCCTTTAATGTTTACCTCAGCCACACGAGATCTCGTTTACTGTTCCACGTGGTGGGTACCCTTCCAGTGGCCATAGTCTCTTGGACTTCCTCTTCCGTTAAGGAATTGTAAGTCGCCCAGCGTGCCTCCACGTAGAAATTGCGCGTTACAATTTCCTTAACAAAAGTGGCATTGAGCATAAGACTGAGGGGGACGAATACCGTGAAGAGTGACACCATTTGGACTGGTTCCACCTAGCGGACATAAAGAGAATATTTTAAAGTTATTACATGACGAATTAACTGTATACAATGGAGACAAAACATAACAAAACCTTCAACGGTCAGGGGAATCCGAATACAATGAGTATTATAATGATATGTAGGCTTACTCGCTACTAGTACACACACACACACAAAAAAAAAAAAAAAAAAAAAAAAAAAAAAAAAAAAATACCCAACACCTGATTGATCTGTTGAAGTTTTAAAGATACATGCACGTTTTTACCATCATTTCTACTTCGACAATGACCCCAAGGAGACCAAGATGACATCGCATGGCGCGCAGGACATTCCGATTCTCAGAAGCCGTAAATTGTCGAAGTCTCCCGTAAGAATCGAAGACTTGTACGGACTCGAGGTAGCCACCCAGACTTGGTTCGTCATAGCTTCCTCCCTACAAACATCACTGTGAATATAATGTCGTGTATTCGTGCAATACAAACACATATTGCTAAGGTTTGAAAAGTTTCCATGCAACAAACCAAGCGAGAAGGAAGAGTGTTTAATTTTCTTACCGCAAACCTAAAACTTTTTAGGTAGAAACTTACCGGTAGTATACTGAGCAAGCAGAAACCTTACTATTTTGTCATTTATATTCTATATTTAGGCGATGTGCATGCAGACACAGTAAGAGCATTTTGCTTACGTGAGAAGCTGTTCCAATTCCTCCTGCTATAGTGACCTCTATCGGCTGCGGCCCACTGGCGATTGCATGACCTACGCTAAGTAGTAACGAGTCCAGCTCGTCCTGTCGCACTCCAGCCGCAACGGTCACTGTGGGATATGGTCTCTGAACTGTCTGTAAAAAAGACCTATAAGTATGCAGTCGCCTTTAAACAATTGTCCTCTTTTTGGTTTCACACCGGCATCTTATTTCTAAATCGTAAAATACACATATTTAAGTACACAAGTCTATTTAGCGCTTTGACAAATATATGCCTTGTTTAAATAAAAGAAAAACAATATTGTAATCAAATGTTTTAATAATACAAAATGTGCCATTGTTACAAGAATTGCATATCAGTAACGATTTTAATTGGGTAATACTGTATGTAAACTACCAGTATTAAAGTGAATGGATATAAAATATGACGCACCGGAGGGTTGAATATCGCCCGCTGTCCACCCTCCAGAGTGAGGAGAGTAAGGTTCAGTAGGATCTGTCCTTCATCTGGGAAGAGTGGCGACCAAGAAAGAGCCGACACGCCAGCCACACGGATTTTGCGGTTTAAACTTATGGCGGCATGTATCACTTTTTGCACCTGCAATGAATTTATTTATCGTCTTTTGACACTTCAGTAAATTTATGAATAATCAATTAGGAAAGTATAGGCCTCCCCGCAAGAAAACGCAGTAGATTCTCCAACGCAGTAGACTACTGCAATCATACTGCAAACCGCAGTAGACTACTGCAATCATACTGCAAACACGCTTCAAATCTGCTTCGATTTGGGAGCTAATTAGCATATTTGAAACATGCTTCTATCATGCTGCTAATCTACTGCATTAATGCTCCTCTCTATATAAACCTATGTACATTGTACTTTTTGGAGTAGAATTGCAGTAGGCTATGCTGCATTTCTACTGCAAATATGCTCCACACCACTACTGCGTTAATGCTTTTTTGCTACTTCGATACTACTGCATTTTCGTGCGGGTCAGTATAGGGAGATATATGGAAAGAGTATACGTATGTTACGGTTCTGTCCTGTGCCTCAATTCAAATTCGGCCCCTTGGTTCTAAATTGTTTCCAAGAGACTCTGTTCTGGTCCTACACCTGTGAATGTCCATGTAGAGAGGAGGCTAGCAAGACTCACTTACTTCGGCATTACTTGTAGGTTTTATGACGAACACGTGGTCCCGTCTAACAATTGTCGCCCAGTTGACAAACGGTTCCAATTGGACTTGGGGAGAGGACCCAAGGGCATTCTGCATGCATGTCTGTAACCTCTCTAAGTTTGGCAGGGTGGCTAGAACAAAGAAAAGAGCAGCAATGCTCAACGCGATGTCCTTCACTTATCGCTTATACGATTTGCATCACACTGGTTATTTTTCTAAATGATATTTTAATTTCGATTGATTTCATGCCTTGTTTATTCATTAACATTGATTTACATTTAGACGAAAACCCGTATCTTTTATGTATTGATCCGTCTCTTCTCTTGGACAAAGATATTAATAATCATTCTTCTGTAGGTGAAAGGGGCTAGCAATGCACAATCCCCTCCTTTCATCCCCCCTCCTCCAAAAATAGCTCATTTAAAGTGGGCGTCACCCTTGCGAAAATTTGTCTCATTTAACGCTCACTTACGGTTCTCAATTTGTCCTAGAACATTGTCCCTGAACAATGTTTTTCTCTTCTAATGAGAAACATTTTTAATCTGTTCTAGGACATTTTGAAGGACTTCCCAAAAACAATTCTCGAACTGTAACATTCCTTACAAAATAACATTAGAACTGTAAAAAAAATAAACCAAATGTTCTAGAATAGATTGAGAACCGTAAGTGAACGTTAAATGAGACAAATTTCACAGGAGGTATCCTAGTTGGGGAGGGACGTAGGTGGGTTGGTGCTTCAGCAGCCAACAAGTTCTCATCGTTAGTTTTGTTTAATAAAACAATTAGTCACAGTTTTAGTTAAAGTTACAACTGTATATAAAGTATATATATATGCTGAGCGAAAATCACAATTCAGAAAAAGGCAATTCCACCAAAGACTTATCGAAATATAATACACCAGTCAAGACTGTGTTTAACGATTGGGGCACTACACCTACACGTTGATTTAATGCCGTATCATACATTTCCTTAGGGTATCACTGCTGAGGGTATACAACATAGCCCTCAAGCGCACTAACTATATTAAAAGATTCAATGCATGTTCAGCGGGCAGCTTTGCTTTCGGTATTTACTTAATTTATTTCCTGTGCTACATAACAGTAAGTATACAGGTCTCTTGATTACTTTGTGTTGCTCAAGATATGTTATAATCCCAAAAACTTTTGATTGCAATTATTACTATAACGCTTTCAGAAATTATAAATAGGCATAAATAGTGAGCATCACTACTGTACACAGCGATGGGCCTACAAAGTCCGAATTGTTTATATTGTGTGGTAAACATGATGTGATAAATGGATTCACAGCACTAAGGCTGTATTCCCAGAGTTTTTAGATCGATCTATCCACGCGGGGAGTCTCACTAGATTACTGTCAGATAATCCATGTCCGTCCCGCCTACTACAAGATGTAAGGGGGCAATTAACTTTCGTGTCCGCTCGGCTGACAGCTATTTAGCGTGAACCCCCAGCGAGTTAGGTCGATCTAAAGTGGGGTCTAAGGGTACCATGATCTACCATCCATGCACGTAAATATAAAGCGTCACTAAATTGGCTGTACATGTACACTGTACACTGTACTAGTGCATCAATATTGATACCGGTGAAACGTGACAGAGTCACCCATAACAGAGAGTAAGCTTCCCATTCATTTGTACAGGTGAGCCTCGCCCTAGATTTTGACCCACTTAGGTCAGACCAAGGAGTTATCTGTTATAACTCCTTGGTCAGACTGACCCTAACCATTATAACTATATGGAGGGCGGACTTTCTGTTACACGGAAACTCAATTTCGTTACACCGGCCCTCCCAACCCCTCCCACTTCTGTACGAGAGTGACGTCAGACCTGACTCCCACCACAACCTGTTTAATATGCGGTAAGATAGAAATGCAGGTGGACATTTGCACTGATTTATTCTATGTATATTCAATGAGCTATTGGTCGGACGTCTCATGCATACTTTCGTTAAGGGGACACATTGTAAAATAAACAATCTACGCGAGTACTTTCACAAGTTTCTTTACTCTATCTATCTATCTATCTATCGATCGATCTATCTGTATACGTATTCCGCCATAGTCCGCTGTCTAAATTTACTAGAAGGTGGTGATTCTCTTTTGTGGCATATTTAGGGCCGTTCAAGGTGAAGCTTATTGCACGTCTATTTTTAGTGAAGATTTCACACGCATGCCTCCGTTGTTTATGTGTTTTATTAATACAATGAAATAAATGTCAATTAAACATCCCTTCCCGCGCTATAGAAATAAGTGTATTAAGGTCCGCATGACTCTTTTCTTTATACATTTTTGCGTCTTTATTCAATACAATCAAAATTTACTGGGCTTATCATAAGAGAAATAACTAAAAGAAATAAGTGATCGCTTTATTGATAAGTTACTTGACGAATGAATACCCCAGTGTGTTTTCTTATCTGATTCTTAAAAATTGTCGCTTGGCATGACATATACTATTACTGGTCTCTCTCTTTTATTTATTTATTCATCTATTTATTTATTTATTATTTGGAAAATTCGAACTACAAAACAATGATTCAAACACCTGAGGTCACGCTAATAGGAGTCAAATTATAAAGTCAAAAGAACAGAAATATTATACTTACGAGGACACAGTGACCACCAAAAGCACGTCCATCTGACCAGGAGTTGTTGTCCGAAATACATCCCCTTATTATAGACCTACTAGTTAACCTCCAAAACAGCACAAAATAAATTTTCTTTACAAAGTTAGGATAAGCTGTATCATCAATGCTGCTGCTTCTGTTATTCAGTCCCACTGGTTCTGACTGCATACATTTCTTTAAGAGGTCACCATGAAGACCACTCACTGTTTAGCATTTTTTACCACGGAATCCCCGCTACCCAGCCAACTGAACTCTAAACGACCATATTAGGCGACTACAGGTTAAAAGTCAATTCTCCACAGAATATACAGCTATTAAACAGGTATTAACGACGGGAAATCAAGAGAGATGAATCACACTACTATTGTGGCTCCCCGTGGCGATGGTGGTATCAAATCCACACTTTGGTGCTTTATTTATTAGGCCTATCTGTTTTATGTATGTTTGATATCGGCCGTTATTTGTTGCTGTGCATGGCAAAATATACCGGTACAAATGTGTATTTCATTTGCCAGTACAATGTGTAGAGCATTATAGTTTCATAAAAGCGATCATGACCTAAGGACAACATCTAATAAATCATGTCTGTCATAATCTGTGGACAGGTGGACGAGTTTAAATATGAAACCCTGTACGTGCTATTTAAAGTGATGTGATATAGGCCTAATATAAATTTTTGTTTCAATGTAACTTATTGATTTGTATTGTATTGTATAATATTGTATTGTGATGTGTTGTGTCGTGTTGTATTGTATTTTATTAAATATACTTTGTATTCATAATACGAGTTCGGGTGCATGTTATAGGCCTACTGGTAGGGCCTAGTAGGCCCTATTGCAGGCAGCCAGATCACGTCACTATTAAAGATGCCGATCAAACTTTTCATTTATTTACTCTGGTTTTTATATTTATTTTTATCTTTTTAACATTTTTCGTAATTCATACATGTAGGCTTCATAGGCTTCAAAATGGTGTTGAATAGTGTGTGTGTGTGTGGGGGGGGGGGGGTAGGCCTATATCTTCCAATTACGACTCATTTGCGTAGTTGAATAAGTTGCAATCAAAATTATGGGTAAGTGAATAAAATTCACACGGCACAGGGTTTACCCACAACTTCTACTTACCATAGTATCCCTACCCATTAATAGAAATGATACGGGCAATTTAGTTTTTCATGTGTACCGGTACATTAGTATAAATTAAATTTTTATTCAAACCGGTTTTTATGACAGCCTTTATGTGATGTTTTAACACTTTATGTGATGTTTAATTAAAATGTGGCACATCCGAAGGACATGAAATTCATTCAAGAAATATATGATTTTTTTAAAGCTACATAAAAAATTGATTTAAACATTTGTGGTAGCTACAATATTTCAATGAAGTATTCCACACCCAATATTTTCCAGGAGTCTCCCGGATTCAGAATGAATCTCCCGGTCTCCCGTACGTGTAACCAAATCTCCCAGATGCATGTGAAAGCGGCTTTGAAAATTTGCACTACTGTCAGCTTCATAATTAGGCCTATCTATCTTTTTTTTTTTTTTTTTTTTTTTGGTCATTAGGGTGACTACACTCATTCGAGTGTCCCACAGATTATCTTTGGCATCATTCCACTGATTGCTGGGGGTCTGGCCCTGTTGCTCCCCGAGACTAACAATGTACCTATGCCAGAAAACCTGGAGCAGGGAGAGCAGTTTGGACTGCCTGGCTTCTATGAGTATGTGCCTTTATGAGAAATTCATTTGTAATAAACACTATGTTCATTAGTGTGACAGTTAAGATAGTGGTGGCATTTTAACTTTATTAACTTGGGCTTTTTACAGTATTTTTAAGCAGCAGGTAATAAGTAGTTTACTTGCAGCAATACCATTTCTGAAGTAAAAAGACCATGTTTTAATTATTAACCACATCTTCCTAAACATCTTTAACATTATTTGATACTGTATTGGTTATCAATAAAGAAAAGAAGAGAGTTTTACAAACTGAATAACCTTAATTTTAAAATTCCTCTCTGNGGGGGGGGGGGGTTGAGAGAGTGGTCGCTTCCAGATTTTAGATTTCCAGAGGTTGGCTTGGCATCTCGGCCAACGTTATAACTTTACATATATGGTCTGGAGAAACAAAATTGTTTCAAATTGTTATACAAGCTGTGATTTAAAAAAAAACAAACTTTTTCTAGGTTAATTTTCACACAGATGGAATATTCCAGTAATTTTTTTCTTTTATTATTCTTATTATTTAGTTAGTTAGTTAGTTATCTATTTATTTGCATGTAATGCCTTGGCGAATTGCCACCCTCAATTATACTGCAACAATATTTAACCTTCATGAGAATAAAGATGTTTAAAAAAAATCCATTTATTTATTTTTTTCTTGGACAAACTAACTGAGCCTGTCTTGTAACCTTTGAAGGTAGTTGTCACATCGAGGCCAAGATGCGGGAAGCGACATTCCCTGACCCACGAGTACAGGATGCCGACGACGTGTTTTCTCCAACAGTTATCGTTATATTTTATGCACAAGCTAGAACAGAGAAATTACTAAAGTGTACAGGTTGTTGGTCACTGGATAATAGTGATTGTACATAAACAGGATCCAAATTTGCTCTGAAGGTGAAACTAGCTTTCCAAATTCTTTCATAATTCATTCTGCATTGTGAAGCTCTCCGAGAGCAGTCTACCTTACTAATCTTTTCTCTTGTTATAGATACACATTCGGAAACAAGAGTGCGTTTTAGGACAAGGTCATTTAGCAACACTTTATGTTAAAAGTTGCACACTCACTTGATTATATACCTTTACACTGGCTTCCCTTTGATACTGATCTGTTTTGAAGCCAAGCCAAAGGAAGTCGCAGTCGTGTTGTTGCATTAGCATGTGAAAGTAGATAGCAACCCAGTGGCCGTGATTTGCAGTCTAGACGTCGTCTTACTCAGTAACAGGTAGGTAAATAGTGTGTGATGTAGGTTAGCTTATACTGATTTCATACTCCATACACAACATATATTATATACCCTGTATATATACTCGTCTACTTCTTCACTACTGCATTAACTACTGTGGTAGTTCGATCATGAAAAAAAAGTTGTGTTTTTATTGAAATTCATTTGTACAGTTTGTTGATAATGATCACACATTGAAAGTTTTTTTGGGGGGTTCATAGTTTCACATTCATTAAATGTAACCTTTCGAAATGTATACAAACACAAACACACTTACAATAAACTGAATGTAGACAAATAAATGATATGCACTGAAATGTTTTTGGGACCATGTTTTTGTTTGAAAGATATTTATGTATGTGTAGACTATGAGTCCCATGATTCAAGTATCAAGATATTTTCATGTCAATGACTTAATTATTTCAACTGCAGCAACTGCATAGCCAATCAAAATGGACATGATGTACGACACATTCGATGACATGGAAGGTGATGGCTATGACGTGATGTACCCTGACGACATGGCGGACATGGAGGCCTGGATGGCGGAGCACGGAGAGGATTACTTTGACACCCAGGCAGAGCAGCTGGCCACCCGCGCCCCTCTTTGGGAGTACCTGCCCAGCTGTGGCTCAGAGACGCTGATGCAGACCCTGGTTTATGTTTATCCTCTGCTGGGACTGTGCTTTCTCTTCAATATGTGCTGTCGCCTACAGCAGACTTCAAGGAATGGTGAAAATGGTGAGTTTTGAAATGGTTTAAAGTTGTATATAATCATAAGGGAGGAATATGCATTGTTGTGAGTAAGCCCTTGTTTAAGACTGATTTTGATTTGTGATTCAAAAGCCTCATAGATAAGGTTCGAGTAATTTAACCCTACCTGATCTTGATATTCTGGAACCATGGAAGTAAGGTAACCCTTTTACATGTAATTTATTCCCTGGAAGACCATCAACTTTTATTTGATGGAAATACATTATGTACAGTGTAGGATAATACCAGTGACAGTCAATAATACTTCTGGATATTATTAAATCCAGACCAAAAACCAAACATAATTTGAAATTAAAGTTCTCAATTCATTTCAGAGGAGGAAGGGGTCACCATCCCCAGAGAAGTTGCTCACATGACCTCAGTCCTGACAGGACTTGTGGCCTGCCATATCTTCTTCCAGAGTCTGTTCCTCTACCTAGTGTTACTGCTGCTGCTCGCATATACACTACTGCTGCTGGTGCATAGGGTGTCCCCAGGGTATTGTGGACTGGTGGTGTCCTCTGTCACTGTAATGTATATTATAACATGGTATGTGTACTGTTATATGGACTGTGACTGCAGTGTATGTATTTAAGGGATGTAGAAGTGTGTAATGTGACTGAAATGTGGTTGGAATGCATGTATGAAGTTTTGCTGTCTAGCAAAGACTTTCATCAGTTGTGTTATGCACTCAAAGTTACAGTAAATTATAGTTTCTTTAAAGACCTGCTAAACTGAGATATTGCACTGAAATATAAGGGTGTCAATAATACTGAGTTTTGCTGTTGTTTGAAGAATCTATTATTTTAAACTTTTATATGCAGGAGTATAGATTGCCCAAGCTTTATCAGTAATCTGAATGGCAGAGCTACATTTTGATGAAGTCCTTACAGCATATGAAAACCTTTAGCTTATTGCTGTAGCATTTTGTAAGGCAAGCTCTCAAAGTTACATGTTTGTTGACATCTTTTGCATAAGATTTTAATATTTAATGAACAATTCTCTTTAAAAACAAAATCATCTTACATGTGTCAGTACTGTTGAATCAATTAACTTAAAGATGGACATTTTGAATTATATTGTAGATCTATGAACTTTTAAACATAATGTTTTTTCTTGATGTTTTAGTGAATTGTTTTTAGTTGAAACTGAGAAGTGGCATAAAATCAGAGGTTTGCAGAATTTGAATGCTTTTTGATATGTTGATTAATGTTTATAGAATATTATGATAATTACATACTAGTTAATTATGCATTTTGTCTTGTAACTGTTACATTAAATAAATTTTTCTATTTGAAACAATTATTTTATGATAATTTGACCATTTCTTATTTAAATTCCTTTTATTCATCAATTATTACAATTATAATTGATAATTGAATTTTATACAGGTGCTCAAATGGTGCTATCCATGAAGATAATCTCGGTGGCCTTTGATGTGGACACTGGTCACCTGGGAGTGCCCAGGGTGTGGGAGTTTGCTGGCTACTGCCTCCATGTGGGAACTGTGATATTTGGACCATGGGTGCCCTATAAACAGTATAATGCTCTGTTCTTGAAACAGGATGAAGGGAGAGGAGTATGTTTGTTGATTTAGCTATTCTTTAATTTATTTTAATTGAAAAAAAAAATTCTTTATATATCATGAATGGTGTGCAGTTTTTGTGATGTTAATTTATTTTGAATAAGTTTTAAAATATCATCAGATAACTTTAAGTCATTAACAAATGCTGCAATCATCTTTAAATTGACAAAGATTTATATGTAATTAATTTTATTTCGTATTCCAGATATTCTCTTGGCTGCTGAAGATGTTTTTCAGCTTGGTATTATCTTTATTTTGTCTTTTCTGGTCCACGTGTTGTCTTCACTGGTTAATCCTGGAACATTTCCATAAGTAAGTAAATAATGATGTATTTCATTAATTATTGCACTGGCATATGAACTTTGCGTTTCCAGTGCAGACAACTGAATTTTCAGTTTTCTTTTCACTTTTGAATAATGATTTTCTCTGAATTTTTATATTTTGATAGAAATCAATCTTTAACTGCTCTGTTTAGAGTTATAACAATTTAAATCTTTATTTGTCAAGTAAAACACAAACCTAAAAAAATCTCCACAATGCCAATAAACAACTCCAATTTTAATTAAAACATAGCTAGTAAGAAAGAGTATAATTGTTATTGAATCTATTGTATGAATGAACTTTAGATTTTTTCAACTACCCTTTCAGATGGTTTGTGGCCTACAGAGATGCCCAGTCGTATAGATTTAGTCACTATTTTATCAGTTACCTGTCTGAAGTAACTGCCACCATGACTGGTATGACTGGGACTGTCAGTAATGGTGATTCTCAATGGTAAGTGGCATAGTGTTTATCAGTGATAAATATTATGCTGTTCTAGTTCTTCTTTCAAATGCCTAGAAGCAAATTATGACACACATCAAACTGAAATAATATAGATAATATATATCAGTTATGAGAAAAAAATGTTTAAAAATGATAATGACACATGTACAATAAAAACTGTGTATTATTTGTTGAGCTACACAAAATTTTGGATGGTTTCTGGTGCCAGAATTTTTTTGTTAAGTGAAGAAGTGTATATATATATATATATATATTGTAACTTCTACAATTTGTAATCAACTGGTTTTCATATTCAGGGATTTTGCTGTAGCCAGACCTTGTCACATTGAGGTTCCAAGGTCTTTGGTGGAGGTGGTCACCCACTGGAATCTCCCCATGCATTACTGGCTAAAGACTTGTGAGTAAATGCAGTGCGAAGTATTTGATAAATGGAAAATTTTTAGTGAAATGCATTCACCGTTTTTAGAACAAAGATGCAGAGAAAGAGCAGTTCTTAAAATTCCATTTTATTTTAATCAGCATAAGGGAAGTTTTGTTGAGTTATATTACATATATAAATTGAACCCAATGTTCATTCACAGTGTCCAGAAGTATTTAATCACATTACACACCAAGCTACAGTCTTTAAGTAAATCTCTTTATGATAACAGTTATTAGTGAGTATAAGCAGAAAATTATTTGCATTGTCTAGTAGGTAATACTGCATGCTGGATATATTATACTCTTTTTGCACTGTTTCTTATGCCTGGTTTTCATTTATTTTCATTTCAGATGTTTTTAAGACTGCTAGACCTTTAGGAAACTTCACTGCCATATTACTCACCTATGCAGCAAGTTCAGTCCTCCATGTAAGTGTAATGGTCACATTCTATGGCATTGTTGTATTTATAATGTCCTTGATTTTTCTGCTTTACTAGAATAATTGGGCACTTAATTATTTACGGATACGTTTTAGAGGACCTCAACACAACTAGGTTTACATCTCTGTATACAAATATGTATTGTATAAATATATACAGAGACAACTAGTAAATAAATAAGACATTATGATTGAGAGGTAATACTATTTCCACATATTAGGCTAAACTAAATGTGAGTATTAAATGATAAAACTGTTATGTTTGTCTAGTAGTGGTATGGTTAGTGATAAACTTCATAATATCACCTCAAGTCTCTTTATGTGTGGCCATAGGTACTAATTGTGTAACCAAATAGTTGCATACAAATTATGCCTTTGGCTTTTTGTGAAATGTTTGCTTTTTTAATAAATTAAAAGTCGTGACTAGTTTATTGCAATTTTTTTATAATATATTTACTTGTTATTCACAGGGTTTGAATTTCCAGCTAGCTGCTGTTCTCTTTTCATTGGGTTTTTATTCCTATGTTGAATATGGTAAGTGTCAATGTGGTGCCATACACCTGTGCTGATAGATGCATTTTGATAGCTTGCTATCCAAAGTTTTAAACACTGCATTATATCTTTGATAGTATGTATTATTGTAATAGTTGTTACATTTTTTTTTCAAGTGGCCCAGAAAAGGCAGATGCATTCACATTTTTATAAGTCCCCTTTGAAGGTTTTAAATTACCTTCCCTAGGAATAGATATTTAAAGTCATTTGTTGTGCTTAATTAAAGGTTAAATCATTCAGCACTAAAATTAATTATTGAAGAAAAAATGAAGTGTTCATTCCACAGGTGTCCACACTATCTAATTGGACTGTTTAATATTTTTAGTCTTATTTTTTTAGTATTCCGCGGGAAGTTGGCCAGAATATTCAGTGCCTGTATCAAGGCAAAGAAGTGTAAACCTGAGTGTGAGCACACTTATAAGGCAGTAAGTTTTGTAAAATCTTGACCTTGATTTGTTGAAAAAGTAGGTGATTGGCCTCTGAGACATGTTTTATATAATGATTAAATCCTCATTACCATTAGCATTTATTAATATTTCCCTTAATACAAAGTTTTGTATCAACAGTTCCTTTTCTTGTATTCTATATTCTGTATACACCTTGCGTTAAACATTTCAATTTATTGAACTTAGCGCTGGAGTATATTATAATATATTTTAAGTTTGTCTATCCAATTCAAATTTAATTTTTGTAGGGGGAATGGGTTAGTGTCTTTGTCTTAAATCATGGTAAAAATGATCAAAAACAAATAAACTTTGGTGTAGGCACACTTTTCTTGTATTTCTCTTTCTTCCTATCTCAAAGTTTACGCTGACGTATCTATGTTCTATAATTTCAGTCTCATCCATATGTGATAAGCACAAACCTGGTATTTGCCTCCCTGGCGCTGGCACATCTCACTTATCTTGGCCTGATGTTTGACAGCAGTGATCAGGAAGAGACGGTATGTATAACATTATGACTTGATGCCATCTTGAATTTGGAGGACAATTATGAAAAATGAACAAATAAAATGATGTCTTTTAAATAGTGTCTGTATGTGAATGTGATCTTTGAGTTACAAAATCTTTGTTTAGGGCCCATGTATTGGCATCTATTAAAAATTTATTAGTTGCACTATTATATTGGCTAGTTTATTTGCTTGTTGGTTAGTTTTTTGGGCATTTCTGAATAGTATTGTGCATGTTGTAATAAGACAAACACAAGTGCTGCATTTAGATTGATATAAGATTTATCTTAACAGATAGCAATTTCCCCAAAAAGGGTAAGATGACTTAAAGCTTTGGCTTCCCAAGACGGTTGGTCTCTTTTACTCTGTCCTTGTTCCAGACAAGAAATTTCTAATTGAAATCAGAAATGAATTTCTTTTATCCATTGTTTTCTGCCTTAAGCAGCCTGAGACCCCAGATTGTAAGGCCTTCAATAGGTTTCTACCCAATGTTTTCTAACAACCCCAAATCATATCTGTTATTTTTCATTCCAGGGTTACACCATGCAGCACACACTGAGGAAGTGGTCCAACCTAGGATTTGTCAGTCACTGGGTGGCTTTAGGGACCTTCATCTTTCATCTTCTCATTTGACAACAACAGCTGAAGTATCTTGAGGTCTTCCAGTTGGTGGTCATCCATTTTTACAAGTCAAGAAAGAGTAAACTTTTTCCAGACCCCCTACTCTTACAGAGAGCACAAGGTGAAAAGCTAAAAATGGTGACCTTTGCAGCTCACCCCTGGCAATTTGGACTATCATAATTATTGTCATTCCAAAATGTACAAAGGGCATTAAACCTCCCCCCCACCCACACACCCAAATATATGGTTTTTTATACTTCTGAAAATGATGATAAAAATGGATGACCATTTAGAGCAAAATATTTTCCATCATTTCACACATATATGGTATTACATATCAAGGCATGTCTAGAGGTGTCATAGGGTCCTAAGTGCCATTCTTTTTCCATTGGTTTCATATCATTTCATATCACTGGCATTTATACTGGCATTGACAGAACAGGTTTCCTATGTCAACGAGACCAGATTATAGGCTGTGATAGTCCAGAAAACTGCTGATCATTTGATCTCAAGAAGATGTGACTGTAAGACCTACTGCACTGGACATTAAAACATTCTGACTGAAGTCATAATGAACAGCTCTATCAGACTGTTATGGCAGAATTACCAGTGGAAGTCACTAGGTTCTGTTGGCTTTGCATTTTTGGCTTCTTTTGAGAATCTCTTTCAGAAAATCTGTCAAGGTCAGGATATATTAATTCTTAAATTTTATCTTTGAGGTGTTGCTAGTCAAAAATGAACAAACTGATTCAGAACCAGTATTGCTGCTCTTTCTTTCTTGTTGGACATATGTTGTGGTTGTTGTTGGCCACCTTAGTCAATATTGCCCACCATGTGTACAGGAGATGACCTTATATGTGGGCAGGTGACCTTAAACATAAACCTTAACAGACACTTTGGTTCTTGGCACATCAGAGAGGTATACTTACTGATCCAGAGTTATTTAGTCTTAGCGTGTAATTACACTACAGGTGGTTTTCTACAGGGTTGGTCAGTAATAACTGACAGCGTCAACTGCATGTATTCAGAGTATTCATGTGCATCAAATGCAGAAATGGTTAAAATGATGTATTTTTAGTCACTAAGTGGCACCCTTGTGTAATACCAGTGTTAGTCACTAGATGGTGCTGTAAGCACAGAAATATGCTGCTGAGCAAAATTTTGCATTTTTCATTCGTTGAGCTGTTATAATCATATTGTGGGGGGTTATAACTTTTAATAATATCTAGTTTAGGTAGTAGATAATGGTCCAAATAAATTTGACAACATTAGATATTGTCATATTAGGTCATGTTTTTTGTCACTTTTCGCAAAAAAAAAAGAGATGTATGCATGCAAATTAAAACCAAAAGTCACTTGATTGCAATCCCCTTTGTAATCCCTCTGTGGTCGGCTCCATTTTTCATTGCACAATCACCCATTTCTGGGACTGCAGAGAGGTTAGGGTGGAGTGGAGTGCAATCAAGTGTCTGTGGTGCAAGAGCTCAAACCTTGATAGTAACATGACTTGAAACTAGATGGCGCTGGTAAACATTGTGTTTAAACCAAAGATTTACATGTGGGTATATATTTATGTGGGATAAACCAAAGGTGAAATGGTTTTTTAATGTGTTGATCTCTTATTGCAGAACTAACACTTGCGTCGAGGTAAATGCTTACTACTCAAATACTATTAGTATGTATGATATTTGAGTGTCAGTTATATACTTAAAAAGTGTGTGAAATGTCTTCTGGGTTTGAAGCCTAACTAGATAAATAAGTGCAATTACCAATTCTTACATTCTCATCTGGTGCAAAACGTTATCTTACAAGATGGTGCTAACGAATGTAATATTTTTAAATCTATTGTTCCGATAAAAAATGTGAACTTAGGTAAGAAATGAACTGCTGAAGACTATTCAAATGCACTATACTGGGGGTATGAGCTAGTGTTGGAACTTATATTGTCTGTGTATTTTGTGGGTTTTAGTCCATTTTACAAGGGTATGAAATACTTATTTATCCATTAATTTGTACTGTGACGGTTATCCGCGATTTGTTGTCTTACAAGATAAGTTATTACTGTACTTACTGATATTTATTACACTGCCAATTACATCAATAGTTAAACTAATTACTGATATGTGAATATAGTGAGTTCTTTGTAGTTCATACGTGTAACCCCAATATATACCGGTATACATATAGTTGAATACCTATCTCCAAAACATTGAATCTTAAACGATTATAACTATTCACTTATGCCATCTTCAATGACATTTATACCACTAGTGTCTTCAAGAATCTGCGAGATTCTCTTATTAGCCAATCTGTATGTCACTTGCATTTTGGATTTTCTCACTTTACTACTTACTGTAAGTTAAGCCATCATAACCTGGCAGGAAATGCGGACACAACGAGAACTTGTCATCTGTACTTTAAAATCCTATGTAATATATATTTCTAAAAAAGTGTGGTAGGTTTTGTTATGAGGTGGACACGGTTTTATGGTGCAAAATTGATATAAACGTTTTTGTGGACAGGTGTTGTTGGGTTGATATGAATAAGGTGTTTTTTTTAATATCTTTTTAGGTAAGGTGGTAAATAAATGATGCATTTATTTCTGCATAATAAATGATTTGTCTTATGCATTATCGTGCATATTATCGTTTGATATCATATTAAAAAGCAAGTCGCAAAAGCAAGTAGTTAGCAAAGTGGATAAAAAAGGCAGTCTATATTTGTCTTGTTGATTCTAGTTCTTGAGCAAGACGTGTTTGACACGGAGGGGCGCATAAAAAAGTGGTGCCCATAAAATGTACAGATCTGAATAAAAATATTTTTATGGATAATATTATGAAAATGTACCGAATGGAATCCCCCCCCCCCCCCATTTTCAAGTGCTGTTGTTTTTTTAGCATTTGCTGGTGGCTTTGTGGTGCTTAAAATGAGCATGGTCATAAGACCATAAAAAAGTAATACAATGAACTCGTGACCAAGAATGAGTTTATTTGCAGCACACCGATAGACAACTCTCCGCCTGACTCGCGTACCTGTGAACATTTGGTATAATAGTAACTCTTCCGGCAAACGAGAGGCACGCTATTAAAGCATATAATGTAAAAATGCCCCTCTCAGGTTTTCTCCCACATTATTTGTACTTCATAATAAGTGATCAGTGGTAATGAGCATCATTTTATTTTCTCTGCTTTAAAATGAAATGTTATCTCGGTTTACAGGCTAAGCGATCAATAAAGCTAAAGTGCATTGTCGGATTCTGTTCCATTTTTCGGTTCATAACTCGTGTTGCGTGTCCAAACTGAAGTTTGGTCCATAAGCATTCTTACACTAGAAAATGATTTAAAAAAATCCTTATGTGTAACACACTATCGGAGAATGGGCTCATCCTGTTCATCTAAGCACAACAACCCAAGTTGACCAAATAGCTATAGTCGGGCGTGATCATCGCTAACACAATCGCCGCTAACACAATCCTCGCATTATTGATCCGGGACATCCAAGCGCAATCGAAATATCCGATTAGCTATTTATCTTTTTGTATAACACATTTTGATTTTTAAAAATCATTAAAAACAAGATCGCATAAATAAGTAACTGGTTACAGACATGGTTTTAGGTGAGTGAGTTCAACTGACTTAACCTTATAATGCCAAGTATGTATTTTCTCCCTGTCTTTGCCGCTAACACTACGTCTCCCAGTGATACGACTCTGTAAACTGTTCGACCTAACAATAGTCGTGTTGTTCATGTTTAGCATCTTTTTGAACTTCCACTTAAAGTTGTCATTGCAGAGAGCGTACAGTAGCGGGTTAAACATGGAGTTCAGGTATCCCACCCACGTCATAGCAATCAGGACGCCGGGTTCGATACAGTTTTGACAAACAGCCACCACGAGAAACAGGATGAAATACGGCAGAAAGCAGACGGTGAAAGCGCCCATGATGACTCCGAGCTGGCGCGCTGCTTTCAACTCCCGCTGAATAAACGCTGAATGCTTCACTTTGTTCGAGGCGGATTTGAGAATGGGTTTCGGTGAAGCATCCTTGTGAATGGTTTCACCGGAGGAAGTGGACGTCTTTGGGCTATCTATTTTATTACTGGCATTGCGTTGGTGGTGGTGTTGGCTAGACCCACGCACCTGATGAAATGGTCCGCTCCAGGAGGCGGAACGAGTGATAGAGACGTTCTGGTGTACGAAAGGACTCGAGCCGCGCCTTTGCCGTTTGGCCGCCGTTATTCCCTGTTTCCCGCTTACCGATGATGAGCAACTGGAAACCGATTCCAGAACCGGCGCGTAATTATCTACATGCACATGTATGGTAGATTTTTCTGGGATTGAACTGTATGTGGAGCAATCTGACTCCTTTTCGGTGAACATTTCTGGAGATGACCTATTCCCGTTAACAAGGCGGCGTAGTGGCTTATGTTCATTGACAAGCGGCGAAGATCGAGTTCGGGTCGTTCCGTAACCGTTTTTACTACCAGACCTTGTCGGCCCGCTGAAGTAGTGAACTGTCCCGTTGCGACTGGTGAATTTTACTGAATAAGTCTCGTGGTTGGCTCCACCACAAGAACTATTAGTGAGATGGCTGGCCTCGTTCACGTCAGAGACAGAGCTTTCTATTTTGCCCCTTTTATTCAACCGTTGCGTGAGGTACTTTGGAACATTGGCTCGGCCAACCTCAAGTTTGTACCTTTGCCTAATAGTGCTATAGATCTGACCGTACATAACGTACATCACGGTTAAGGGTAGATAGTAATTGATAATTGCACTTGTACCTTTGAGCACAGCGTTCGAAGCGAACTCCGTATCACATACGTTGTCGGGTATATGTTTCTTCCCGTCGTTTACGACATAGTGCCACCCGAATATTGGAAAAATCCAAAACATTGACAGACCCCATGCAGTGCATATCATGATGGAGGCCCTCTTTTTTGTTCTTTTACGCAAGTACTTAAGTGGGGTCGTCACTGACCAATAACGGTCAAGACTCAGTATGAAAATGTTAAAGATGGACGCCGTGCTGGCCGTGTAGTCGATGGCCAGCCATGTCTTACACACGTACTCTCCCATGTACCAGTCTTCTGTTAGAATATAGGTGGCGCTGATGGGCATGACGATCGCTCCCACTATCAGGTCTGATACCGCCAGGCTCACTATGAACATGTTGCTCACCTGAAATAAAAGTTGGGCAATTATTGAGGTATGCAACAGGCACTACACTATAATACAGACACATGTTGAATCACGCACACACAGGATTTATTACTTTCTCACTGTAAGAAAGATTTTGCTTCCAATTTTACTTCATCTTTTTTATTACCTTTTCATTACGTTACTTTATTTGAAATGAAAGCTCTGATTGTTTTGTGATATGTCAAATATGTTTGAAAAATGCATCACTTGATAATTGAAATAAATTTTTTTCATGAAGAATTCTTCACTTCAAAAGTTATTTTCTTCCCCGACGCGTTCTTATACTTGCAAGCCTTCAGTGCATATGCACGCCAGTTACTTCAACTTTGAGCTTCATTTCATGAGGAAGTTCATTCAAAGAATATCATTGAAGTCCTCATTCCTTTTGAAGTTCATCTTCAGAAGCGCACTTCCGCAAACTTTGTTCAAGGGTCTTCATGAATTTTACCTTTTAAAGAAAGGCAGGTCTTTGTAAGGGCGGGGGGAACATCATAAGGTTAATTTTGTCTAGGTATTGAATACGTGTTTCCTTGACACAGCAGTCATAATTCATGTGTCACGAATAGAGTGCTATTGGTATTTTTGTCAGATACAGTTACAGTCATTGGCCATTTGAACATAGCTGTTTTTTTCCACTGGTATCTCATAATGTTACCTTATTAGCATAAACTGGGCTCAATTTTAGGTATCTGTCAAAGTTTTTCTGACTCCTTTTGCCATATACCTATGCGCAATTATTTTTCTCAAAATAATTGAGCTACAGTACATCGAGTTATATTTTGTACCGTTTACAATGAGAACATTTCCAATTGAAGAAAGTCTATGTGATAAAGCCGATCCAGTGTGATTTGGTGTGAGTTTTAAGTACCTATATCCTAATTACCTTCAACATGTTCTCCAAAGCTTGATATGCAGGATATGAGAGACTCCTCTTTTTGAAACCAATACTGTTGTAACACGAGCTCATCAATTCAATATTCAAGCGTTCATCTTAACTATTTGATGTTTTTTTAAACATCACTGGCTTTTGACAAGAACTGCCAGAATCGGATTTCGACCTCTGCTAAAAATAACCCAAGTACTGTCTTAATTGACAAGATTGCGGGAATACCAGTGTTTTCTAGCATTAACAGTACATCTTTCATTCCTGCAAAAACGCAATGACATACCAATTTGCAGTAAAGCACCCCTCTTTAGTGTCATTTTTGATTAAGACTCCCGTTTTAACTCACTGACTTCATGCCTTCTTTGAAGGGCGGGAAATTGTCTTAAATCCTAACTTTTAGACAGCACTTATCTCCAATGCATTTGCCCCCTTCTTATGCCATTAATAAGTTCAAAATTTATTTTCTATTTAAACCCCCAACCACCATATAAAATTGGTGTTTGGGCGGAATTCCATTTTATAAGACTGTACAACAGAATATTACGCTGTACTGAGCACCCTTTTGGGAGTGCAATTTGTTGTCGTGTATTGGCGTTATTGCATCAGTTTGTCAACGTGAAACCGTGTAACAGCTGTTCTTTGTTTTACGCTCCATTGTTTCCCTTGGGCCAGATACGAGACATCCTTTTACTTCAAAATGCAGACGATAACCCACGCACTTTTTCGTTCGGTTTCGTGTAACGAAATAAGACAAATCAAGTGGAATTGTCCGCACGATTCACAGAAAAAGGGAAATGGAAAAATAGGACCAATATTTTAGGTTGGAATTAGGTGTGACATTTTGGTGTAACCCCAAGAGCAATATATTGAACCTTTCACGAAAAAATTCGTGCTGGTTAATGAGGGGCTTTAGGTCCACACTTGTGTGGCTGGACTTAACTTGTGGTCCTCGCACAGGGTAAAAGCCAAACATTTTGCGTCAGGTCACGTGCTCTCAATTTCGGGACCCTCGATCCCCTCTCTCCTCATACCCCCAACCCCTGTCCTGTCAAATTATAATTGAATAATAATATAATGAAATTATTATTTCTATTTTAATACAGTTAATTGCTACAATAATTTTACAAGTTCAAAAGAATTACAGATTCTTATAATCTTATAACTATATAATTTATTGGCATAACGACCTCACAGATCCTTATATACCATATGATTCATTGGCATAAAGAGTCATTTGGAAACATTAATGTTATGACAAATTATTAGGTTCCATATAGTCAAAAGGTATATTGGATTAATAAGTTCCATGGAAAGTTATCGAATTTGTTAGTACCATAACTATTTGTTTGTACACGAGTGTTTGTACAGAGTGTTTATATCAGATAACAGAACAAATAAACCAAGAAAAAAATAGAAGTTTGGCATTGAAACACTGGCCAATAATTTTGATAATGGAGATAATATTTTCATGGGAAGGCAACGACCGCGGGGATATGTTCACACGGATCATGGAATTGTATGACACAGTCTTTGATAATGTCAACGAGTGGGACCCGATGATGTGACCTTTCACGATGCCAGAGGCCCAGATTTCCCCTGGCGACTGTCAAAACCCTTTGTCTTATGAAGAAAGTTAAACCGTTTGTATTCTTAGGATGTTTATCTTAACTGCACACGTTAAAGGGTTTTATGATATGAGAGCTATAGATTCACATAAGAATTTAATTTTTTGAAACTCAGAACTTGGTAATATTGGATTTTTACAAAGCGATATCCCTGGGGTGAGGGGTAAAGATTCGAAAGTACTATTATTATTATTATTATATAAAACTGAAACGATATCAGTTCTGTCTTTCTTCATTAAATGTTTTTTACCCAAAAAGAAACAAAAGTAGAACATAACCAGATAAGCTTGCTAGTTAAATGTGATGTTGCGTTAGAATGGTTCACTACGCAGCCTGATGGGTTAAGCGCGTAATCAAATAGTCGGTTCATATTCGGCAGACGGAATCGAAACTCAATACGCCTCTCTGCTGACAGTTTCAATCATACATCGAAACTTAACACCGGATAGGCAATAAAGGCCACGCATTTACAGAGGAATACATCCCGGAGGAGAGGAAACACTTAATGAAATGTTTTTTTTTTCATGAAAGGAATAATGTGGCTGTTTTCAGAAGTGAGTAGCCTAGTTATACGCTAGAATGCGCTGTTACCCTACATCCAGCTTATATTCTGTGGACTAACCGTTTATGGAGGGCTAAAGTAGCGCATGAAAATTACTGATAGAAATCATGATGATTTTAATAAAATACACTTATGTCTTAAAGGAAGTTTCAATATATGTTTAAAAGTAGTAAAAATGATGTAAAATAATCGATGACATCATAAACCAGGATCAAAATGGTTGACCTCTGACCTGAAAAACGGACACGATTGTTACCTCTTGAATACGACCTTTTTAGAAGATGTTTTCAAAAAAAATCAGTTATTAATTTTCCTTAAGCTATTCAGTATTTATACTTAGATGGCTGATAAGCTTCGAGGTGTATATACCTATCTACGATACATGTTACAGATTTAGATACCCAGATATTCGCGTGCCGTAATATAGAGGCGGTAGGTTCAACACTTACAACAATAACATTAAGTGTGCCAAATGCATCATATTCCTAAAAGCCTAAGTAGATCCCAATTATCTTTTCGCGTTTCCTTTTTTGCCCTAGAATTTCAGTTAGAAACTTTGTGGACATACGTTCAAGCTGATGACGTTAAAATTAAAGATAACAGACACACAGTGTGTGAGGAAAAAATTGAAGTGAACAGCGTTTAAAGCAAGCGCTTAAAAACGCCACTAAGCTGTATAAAATGGCCCACCGGAGCAACAAACTTCATTAAGAAGCCACTGTATTGCAAAATGCCGCAACCTCAGTGGAACAAGTGTGACAGGAATGGAAGTCCGCTAGGAACCGCAGTCTCTTCTTCATTACTTTGTATGGGTGATATTCGTCCAATATACCAACTCCCCATACTCCGAATAACCCTAACCTGTACTTATTATACGGAACCCCGGCCTTTCATTCCTAGGACTGCCATACCTGTTACACCTGTTACACCGTAGTCCGTTTACACAACTTTGCACAGGTAACAGTCGTCCCATTAACACGTCCTGATACTTTGGTTAACTCTAACCTTTGCTAATGACCCCGTGATATTCCATTCTTAGACAAGCCATTCCTGTCACACCGATTTCTCAATGCCATCTATAAAGTATGTCTCTCTTAACAGTGGCCTTCGTCGGCTTTACTTGTGAAGGTGAACCAAGGATTTATAGAGAAGAAGAACTGAAAAGAACCAGCCATTTGCTAGCAATGTCCATATGGCACAGGCTACGATTTCTGCAGCGTTTTTTTTTATCTATTCAAATGGTTCATGAAATAGGGATTTTTATTGATGACAAAATATTTTGTTTATGTGTGTGAGCGCTCTTGCGTGCGCGTATGCGTGTGTGTGTGTCTGGTATCTCTATCAATTTACATACTGGGCCGTTCAGAGAGCGGTGCACCTTAGATTCATAACACAAAATTGTGTGATAGATATTTCATTTCAGGACTAGGTATCTCGGAAACTTAAACGGTCATAATGTGTCTGAAGGTAGTCAACTATATTTCCAGGCATTATAAGTCCCTCTAGTCCGGAGCCCTAAAATATCATGATTGAAAAGTCATGTAGTGAGGTCTGCTGTATCTTTCACACATAATCAATGGTACGTGACTAATGTTCAGTATCTCCCACATTTCTCCGTCCCGCGGGGATTTGACTCTGATAATCTTCGCACAATGCTAATTCACGGAGAAATTGTACACTTTAGGAACCCGTGTTTTATTTTTTATAGCGTGCATTCGGAGGGTTATCTAGGGACTGTGAAAAGCTATTACCAAGAGCGAAATAAGGGGAAAATATCTTTAGCAACTTTGATTTGAAATCTGTGAAAAAAGCATGTAGATCATACTTGTATTTCACCACAAGGTGTTATAATGAAAAAGGGCTTGTCGTCCACCGGCCTAACTGAAGACTGCAGTGTCCGTGGGAA